AAACTCTGACGTCTGAGACTGATACGGCAGTGCAGAGAGCAGACCGAGTAAGATCAAGTCTGCAAGGAGATAGACATCAAGCGGACACGTTTAACACGTCTTCGTTGGTATTTTGGTTTTGATTTATCGTGATTATGTGAGTTTGTCGTGACGAAAGGTGGAGAGGATGGTTCAGTCAGTCGGGCAAATCCTGATTCCACCATTTTTTTTTTACAGTTCTTAATATCATGTTTGAACCATTTCAAGATTTAGGTACAGATCGCTTTAGTCACTTGCTTTCACTGAGAAACAGGATGGGTAACGAATTTGAAGACAATGTATTTGAAAATGAATGGTGTTAAAAGGCTTATCCCAGCAACTACCAACAGCTAAAGAAATATAACTTTAAAAATGCTTTTTTGTTCATGTTGAAACCAAGGACAAAAAAACACTATTAAAAATCAAAGAAGCCGTAATAACCTGCCGTGTAAAGGTTAGTTTTTAACATTTCCTGTCTTTTAACCAAAACACCACTTCCCCCCCCCCCCCCCCCGTCCTAGGATTGGCTAGTCATTTTCCCAGCCCACTCTAGTTTCTGCTTTGGCACGTCCCATCCCCGCGGCCTCTGCTCTCAAGAATGCGCCACCTGAAAGACCCTCGGATATGACCCCGTCTTGGGTGGACTGAGAGACGATGACAGTTTGGCCTCTGCTTTCTAAAGGAATCGAAGTTTAACACTGTTACTTTTAAAGGTGGGGTAGGTCATTTTGGAGAAACCGGCTCGAGTGCGCTAGAATTTGAAAATACACAGCCGGAAAAAATCTGCCACTTCCTTACAGAGCCCCTCCTCCAACACACACGAACGCGCACATGACCAAGGAGGGCACGAGATAAATGTGTGCACAGATGGAAGGCTGACAGGCTGACAGGCAGGTAGGCCATCCAGTTATTTTAGCCGGGCCGGCTCAGCTGATTGGTCGTGCTTTTTACAGCGCCACGGCTTCCACAGATGACATTTTTTTTATGGATTTTTTGTCAAAGCACTTCAGATATTCATTGCTATCGGGATGTTAAGAGCATTCCATGGAATATAACAAAAAGTGTATCTCGAGCCGGTTTCTCAAACTTACCTACCCCACCTTTAAGTGTCAGAATAATATTGATTTCTTCATTTCCCGTAGCCTCTTAAATTAAACCTTCCTTCACCCACAGTTCCTCTAAGACAATTGCTCGCTAGCATTTGATCAGAAAACAAATTATACTGCTACCACTTGAGGAAGTTAGAGTAACACAATGTACCTTCTCCTCTTCCTGTCCTCCAGGTGATGGAGCGGGAGCTGAAGTCTACGCCAGAGGAAGAGAGGACGGATTTCCTCAGGGGTCGGATTTTTCCTGAACTCAGATCACAAGCTGAAGTGGAGAAACTAAACCTAAACACGAACCAGGAGTCACAAACTGTGCAATCATCATGAACACACAGGTTGCGGTTTGCTATTTATAGCTTTGTATAGAATGTGAAAGAGAAAGAAATAAAAGTGTTGTTATAAATGTGCTCTGGTTTGGGTGTGTTTTCTTTTCTAAAGGTGAACAATCTGCATCTCATTTGTTTTTAATCATCCGTCGGCAATTTGTTCAAAGCCTAACAGAAACAACATGGGGATCTTGCTGATGCCGGTGGCGGTTGATGAGTAAGCTGCTGAATGAAACCCATAAAAATCTGTGTGCTCGTACAGAAACTGCAAGGTGAGCAGTGTAAAGGTAGTTTCTTTGAAGCACACAGGAAACCGTGCACGTTGTTATCGTTTGCCTCTCCTTATAAACTCCGAAATGATGTTTCTGTGTTTCTCAGAAATGAGCGTGGAAAGAGATGTGATTCACAACCAAAGTTTGTAGAATGTTTTATTATTTATTTCAAACTTGTGGTCGCTCGTGATTCACCACGCGGGGTTGTAAATGAGGTCAAATCCCCTCATTCAGAGACATGGATCTGTTTCAACCACAGAGGGTTCCTGCTGCAGATCAGTGCAGCAGGAACAGCGTTCACTGTCTCTTCATTTGAAAAGAAGAGACGGTGAACTAAGATTTCTATTCTTTAAAAAAAGCTGATACAAAAAGAGCTGCTGCTTTCGCTATGTAGACAAGTACAGAGAAAGAAAAATGAACTTAACAAAACCTCGCTGAGGATATTTTTCTGAGCTACTTCACGGACACCTGTGTTTTTATATATACACTAACAGGGGTAACGTTAACTGAAGTGCCGTGGTCCAGGATTCTGGACCCATTTGTTCTTCCTGCGGTCCCGGGGTGCTTTGGGTTTGGTGTTCATGTAGTCAGTGTGGGACTCTGAGCTCCTCCACTTCACCTGTGAGAGAGCACAGCATCATGTGAGTGCAGGTATATAATGCACTAAATGGTCATAATGTCATATCAGTGACAAGGCTGGATTAGTACCTCCAGGGGCCCCAGGGCACTGAGCACTCATGCCCCCCCCGCCCCCCCAACCCACGTACCAACAAGTAACACCATGCCTACCCAATCCTACCAACATGACCAATATTTAGAATCTTCAGTCAATCTGGCATGTCAAATCGCACAACTATTTGTCAAAAGCAGGGACGGAGCCACATAGTTCAACCAAAGTAGGTCTAGCCTTTTGCCCTTTCAGTAAAAAATCACAAGACAAAGATACAATGGATAAGATCTCAAGACAGTGTATGGCTCAAGAAGACCTAGGTAATATCAATCAAAACCTCAGAACAGCACCCCACTTAATGCCAAAATAAGAATGGCTGGCTGTACAAGTACACGAGGAGTTCTGTTTGTCACAAACATCGAGAGTTACAAAAGTAAAATATGTAGTGAAATTGTGTGATTGCTCAAGGGTGGGGCTGTGATTCGGCTATACACCTCCGCCGCGTAGTAATAAAGTTGAGTGCATACATAGTGACACCTACAGTAAAATTTGACACTATGGAAAAGTGTCGTTATTTATGGGAAGAGTGAGTGGCCATTTAAACAACTGTATGATGAGTGAGGTTGATACGCCGAAAAATAACTATAGATCACTGAAGGGCCCTCTTGCTCAAGGGCCCCTGTGGCACTTGCCCAGGGTGCCCCGAATATGGTTGATCCCGCCTTGATCAGTGGGACCGAACAGCGGTGTTTTGGGTTTGATGGGTTTTCTGGGGATTTTGGGTACGCTGACGTACCTTTCCATAATTTCAAAAGAAAAAAGCGATTTGAAATGAATAAGAAACACCAGCGTGAGTGCAAAACATATTAAAGCATGTTGAATATATTCGAACAAGATCCAAAATTGTACTATAAGTAAAGCCTTTAGTCTCTTATTTAAGAGACATCTTGAAAATAAAAAATAAAAATACTTTTTTTGGTGTGCATCTAGTTTAATATCTCGTCTTTTCTCGCAGGGCTCTAAAAAGCTCAGAAGGTTCTGGTTGTATTTTAAAAAGGCTTCCTTTTCCCTTAAGTTTCAAAGACAGTACATTTGAGCATACACTATAGTGCCCAAAGGGTCATAAAAGGAGCAATGGGGGCTGTTGCTCTGTAGTCTTAAATACGCGCGTTCCCCTCCAGAGCTCATGTAGTGTTACGTGAGCTTACGCGCCAGAAGATGCCTGCAATGATAACGTGGCAGTTACGCCGCGTAAATGGTAAGGCTACAAGCGCCCAGAATCCAAAATCCCAGAGAAGTCCATCAGTTGACCTCCATCTGGCCTTTTGATTTTCAACTGCATTGGTGTTCCTGGAAGAAACATATTCAGGAAGTATTCAGTGACTATATGCACACCAATTTAAAAAATACTTCCCCTGTTTCCTTCCAACCCTTTAAGAGATATTTACCTTCTACTTGTACCAGGATGAACACAGTAGCTTGGGGCATGTTCTCAAATGGAGGGGGTGAAAGGCTTGGCCTCACATTCCTGTAGAGACCGAAGGCTGCTGGCATTCACTCCCCATCAGCTGAAATGCACTGATTTATTTTCCCTGTTTTCATTGTAGTTCGACTTCTGGCCCTTTGGTCGGAGGTTTCGCACCGTGGCGTTTCGCACTCGCTGATCAAATTTTGCCTTGGAAATCAATTCGTTCGTTCTTGGGAGGTTCAAGGTCGCGTCCCCCTCGGCTGGTTTCAGCTCCGGGCAAGGCAGCGGAACATCGCCCTCCCGAAAGGTAAGCGCGATCATTTTCAGCTCTTCTGCAGAAGAAAAAACTGTTGATGATATAATTCTGAAAATACGTGTGCTTGTCAGCAAGCCAAATGTGAAACCAAACCAAACAGGCATTGCAAAGGAAAACATCTTTTCACCCAGCTAAACACTCTGCAAAACATTGATTTATAAAGAATCCTAATGCCCTAAGTGAAATCAACACTGTTGGAGCTAATCATTTCAGCTGCACCCTCGCAGCACCAACACGGAATTTATTCAAAAGTCAGGCAAATTTGCCCTTTTACTCAGCATTCAGCCAAGAATCACTTGGTCCATCCCACTGAACGACTCCCGAAATTATGGCCACTCAAAGAGGTGGAGGTCTTGTTTATCATGATGTTATTGGAATTGGAAATAGAGACTCTCTGTAAACTGTTATAGTCTTTAAAATTGAGGCAAACACTTTATTTTCCAAAATCTCCTCTGTTGACTTGTTTACATAGAAAAATCTCCCAACAGCCAC